ACACGACGAAAAAATAATGGCGGCCTCAACCCGCCGCCGCGCAGTCTCTTCCAGTGGTTCCGAGACGCCAAATCACCCGCGGTTTTGTGGTCAGCCATCTACTGTTTCCGGATGCGAATGTATACAATTTCGAGGTATTTGTCAAAATTATGCACAAGCTCTTAAGTCTGCTTTAGTTATCGTGCTCGTTCTATGCGAGGCATTCGATTCTTTATGGCATTGGGATCCCGATGAAAAAAGGCGATCGAGATCAATTTGTCGACTTTGATTAGAATTAATCAACCGTGACTCATCTCTCATCAGAACGTTATAAACCACATTGACATTTCGCCATATTATATTCATATCAGTAGAGATATTAATTAAAAACACAAAAGAAAGGAAACGTATACATAAATATCTGAACCAAATTACACTTGTGGTTAACGATGGTTATTGGCGCTCCACGCTGAGGTCACGTGACTCGCATCGTCGCCGCCGCTTCCATCGGTCACGCTTAAGCTGAGGAAGGGGGAGGGGGAGGGGGGGCAGTGGGTTGGGGGAGGACCGAGAGGGAGGGGAGGGAGGGGTGGATAGGCGTTAAGGGAAGGGAGGGGTGGGGAGGAGAGGGACAGAGGGAAGGGGAGTTCGGGGGCAGTAGGAAAGGAGGAGGAAGAGGGTGCAGAGGGACGGGGAAGGAAGGAGGCCGTACAGGTGGTTAGAACAACGTAGGGAATTCATGGAGATGGAGGGTGTCAGGAATATCTTCGAGTGGGGACCGTGACGGAAATATAAGATGAAGAGAAATTAAAGAACGGGAGACACAGGGCCGACATAAAAATAGGAAATCAATAAAAAGAGAGAGAAAAATGAGACTGAAAAGGAAATATTCATAAGACAATAGAAAGGCAAGCTCAGAACAAAAGAAGCGAGAGATGAACCTAAACCGCCTGCAAAGAGCGAGCGAACCGAAAGGAGAAGCGGCGAGGAGAACCCTGGCCTCCCTCAGCCCGCAGCCTGGCAGTAATAGCCTGAGAACGTCCACCTGTTACTCCGGGGATCTGGTAACACGTTACCCGAATCCCGTGTGCGCGTTGCGGAGAGGCTGGTCGGTAAACAAGATTATTATTATCTTCGTATCTTCTCTCTATTTTCTTGCAATTCTTTGTTTTGCATTGGTCTAGAATCTGGGATTTGATTTCATTTGAACCCAGCGGTCGCGTTGATGCATTTTAGACCCGCGCTCGGAAATTCATTTTTGTGATTGGGAAATCGTTTCGTATTCTTCACGGTTTTCTTTATTTTATTTTATTAATTCATATTATTCAGAACTAATTATCACGTGTCTATTATATTTAATATCCCCCCCCCCCACCGAGCCACGTGACCCGCTCAACAACAGTACAGTGACCGGGACAGTTGCCAGTGTGTCTTTTTATGGCATTTTTACCTTTCTTTGGTTGTGTTTATTGCATTATCTACGCCAGTTAATTTTTTGTCCTTTTAATTCGTTTCTATATTGGTATCTATAGTATAAATGAAGTTTAAATGATTCCCTTTTTATCAATTATTGGTGTCTATCATATATATTCCCTCGGTCCTTTCTTTTCACTCCCCTTCTCCCCACTTTCTCAACCCCGCATTCTTCCGAGACCACATTACGCCTCCCTTACTCGCATCATTTATTACAGGCGCCCATTTTTTCTCTCTCTTTTTTAAATGTTTATGCCCGGGGGTATCCGTAGCCTTATGCCCTGCCACGATGCCCCTACGTGCCCCGCGGTTGGGCTTTATATGGCAGCGGCGGAGTGTGTCACTAGGGTAAGGGTCCGCGGGCGTCGTTCGCGCAGCCGTGAATCCGAGAATCCGTGACGTCATTTGTGGATCGCTCGTGTAAGGTGAATTATATTTATTACTTATTATCAATTTCATGTGCACTTACTTGTTGTAAATCGTTTGTACGGCATAAAGTATATTTTTTATAAGCGTGTTCATAAATTCTTAAAATCACATGTGTTTATTCATATAAATGGACGAATAGAATAGACCATGCAATAAATCAGAATAAATAAACGAAAGAGAAACTAAGCGAAAACGGTGTCTCAACCGAAACGATAAGTTATGCAAATTCGAGTTCCAGAGAAAACCAAAGGAAGGGAAGCAGCTCTTTACAGGAACCTCATCCAAAGGTAATAATTCAAAAACGAAATTCAAGCGAAAGCGAAGAAGAAAAACGAAAAGGAGACTAGCACGTTCGCGGATATTAAATCTAAAATTCAAAGAAAGAGAAATAAAGTAACAGCCAAGAGAAGGAGAAAAGAAGAAGAGAGAGAGAGAGAGAGAGAGAGAGAGAGAGAGAAGAGAGAAGAGAAGAGAAGAGAGAGAAGAGAAGAGAAGAAGAGAAGAGAAGAGAAGAGAGAGAGAGAGAGAAGAGAAGAGAAAGAGAGAGAAGAGAGAGAGAGAGAGAGAGAGAGAGAGAGAGAGAGAGAGAGAGAGAGAGAGAAAGAGAAAGAAGAGAGAG